ACCAGAACACTCAGGGGCCATTTTCTATACTGGGTTTGATTGGTCAGCGTTCATGGACTTGTAATTTGCTGTCTGTTATTTTCCTTTTTCCTCAGTCGTTCCACATCGTACTGTGCGGCTGAGGTATGTTACATTCATTCATACATTACTTTGGTTATTTACTTATGCTTGTACTAGACGCGACGTACTCGCTTTCATAGGTATAATTCATTTAGTCGTTCCACATCGTACTGTGCGGCTGAGACGCGACGTACTCGCTTTCATAGATTCTGTCACTAGGACCGCCTTGCGAATATGCAGGGTATGTCGTTCTAAGTTTTTTTTTAATTCTACGGATGTGTTTGCGGGCGTGAGAGCCATAATAGCGGCCGCACTCCGAGTCCAAATTTTTCTCGACGCGCTTGGACGCGTCTGGTTCCTATGGTCCCGTGCTCCGCACACAATCCGCACAGGACAGAAACAAAAAGCTCCTGACTTGCTCCCAGCTTGCTCCTGACTCCAGAAAACCTGTTATACTCGAGTATTATATTAATAAACACTGCATCGACATCCCAGCTTCATTCGCTAAAAGTTCTTCTCCGTTTATTCAGATAAATGATTTCCTATGCTAGAGTCGGCAGTCAAATGTCCGGTTATGAATATTATTTTATTGTGGATGAGACTTGGCATGACACCTATGGTGAAGTGGTTATCATGCTTGCCTTCCATGCCTGATAGCAAGCGGCACGGGTTCAATTCCCGTTGGGTGTATTCCTTTTAGCATTAATATGGGGTCTAATGCCTTTTTGAGGTGAAAACGAAGGGAGCGAGGGAGGAGGAAGGCCAAGCAACGATGTGGATGGGGAGTGTTTTATCCATAGTTTCTTGAAGTCGGAACTGCGGAGGGCCGGAAGACTCGAATGTGGCGCGTAGGGCTTTTGGTCTTGACGTTCATCTTCAAGTCCAAATTGTTCAATGAGCTCAAGCTTCCCCTGCTAATTGCAGGCTCGATGACCGTCACTTGACGATATATCTGCCCAACATGCGCGTGTACCGCCTTTGAACGGCGCGGCTAATGAATTTGTTCCATGGGAATCATGGCCGTGTAGCATATGCCTCGGTTCTTTATGTAGCAGGACCTACTCAAGTCTCACAGCAACTTTGGTGCGTCGACGCTTCATGTAACCGGTGGCAATGAACTTTAAATTATTCACAGTGATGCTCATTATATCGACAGACGTATCCTAGCGGCGCGAACGATACTCTTTGTTCCTGTCGAAACCAATGCTTCGGAGCATTTGCATGACAACGTTGCATTTGGCTACGAAATATGCATGTGCACTGTGCCATGTGAACAACCTGCGAAAAAGGCGACGAGGGCGTCCCTGACTACTGTGTCTTCTTCGATGTTGCCGCTCGTCATGGCGAGGCTGCGACGCGATAAGTCCGTGTAAATCATCGACTCCAGATCGCCTGTGAGTCGCCCCGCCTACCGTCCCCGCCGATATCGGACGTCTTTTGCCCCATAAACCTGGTCAGTGCTCACATGGCTGGTTTTCGGATTCCACAAGCTCACGCGGGAAGCCTTGGTTTTGAAATTTGAGCAGGTCCTCGGGATGATCTTGGTATGGCTCCGCGGTCATCCCAACGCCGTCCATGTAGCTTGGGACTTGGAGTGCCCTCCGTGGTCGTGCAACATCTTCAGAAACCTTGAATCATTCTGCCGCGGTATGATAAATAGCCGTGGGTACGGCATGCATTTTCGGCTTTGTTGACTCAGGACTGGATCTACATCGGCCTCGTGTTGACTTGTGAGTTAGCTTCTCCGTTGTTAGCGTTTGAGCTCACTTCTCATTCGGTTGTTCTACCAGTGCATTTTTACAGGCTGAAGGCGTCTCACCCTCTGAAGTTACCCTACAGTGCGCTAGATGGCTCGCTGAGGATCAGACATTGCAAGGTAGATTTGCCTAGCCTCGGAGGAAATGGCATTGACGATGATCGGAAGGGAGACGATCACAATAGAAACGGTCGTTAATTCCGCTTATTGCATTGCCACTTGCAGCGTGGAGCAATTGTACGTGCTGTATCCAAAGCACGAGCTCGTTCCAAACTCTCGACGACCTTCCTCAATCATCCAGTTTTACAGGGCGCGACGAATGGAGGGAATTCGGCGCGCGATGACCGCAGGACTCACTCCGTCGAGCATAAATACCGCATCCCGAGCGTTTGATTCGTTCATCGCTGGTCCTTCCCCTTTTTATGTCGTCAGAGGTACTCCCTCCTCCACCCGCCGGTCTGAATTACACGGCGGTTATAGGGCCCTCACTTTCGTTTTTACTTCTCGGGACGGTCTTTTCGTCCCTCTTAATTTCCATTTTCATCGCTTTATTGTTTTTCTCGGATTCCAAGAGTCGAAAACGGCCTATATTTGTGCTCAATGTCCTCGCAGTCCTCCTTGGAGTCGCTGAAGGTGCGGTCAACATCAACATCGAGGTGCGTGTTGGCCGCTCTTGTTTCTACCGCTCATGCCTTATGTGTTCTCCTTGCATAGATACGCACTATGCTGTTTCCTGACCATCCTGTACCACTTTCCACCAAATTTGCATTCGTCATTTTGGCGTTCATCGGCCCTCTTTCTGTGGAATGCGTGCTTTTATTCCGAATCGCGACGGTCTTTCCACCCACTACAGAACACGCGAAGCGCAAGCTCGCAGCCATCCTGGCATTCCCGATCCTTTCTAAAACTGCACGATTGGTTAATTTTGGGCTATTCGTACGCGATTACCTCGCTTTTTCCGGAGCAAGTGGTTTAGATATTGTTGAGATGCTTTCCATCCCGACCGTATTCTTAGCATTGCAGATCGAGTGGATTTTACAGCTTGTCGAACATTCGTGAGTCGCGGCCATGTATCTTTTGATAGCATCTTCTTACTCACCACTTTGAAGATACGTAGTTTTGATTTTTTCGTACCGCCTTCGGAGCAGGCAGAGTACAACGGAGACGATGGAGGTTATCCGATCTGGTCAGTCGATCGCTTTATTATGCCGGGCGCACCATTTCTGATCTTTAATACACAGCTCGTATGAGCCGTCGGATTCGGGGTTTACTCTTGATCGCGATATCCAATTTCATATTCCCCGTAGTCCTCAACGTCGTACAGCTCATCCTGCTCATCGGAAAGACCAAAACAAACGGGTCGTTCATACGGATGGCCCTGGTCTTCGTGGCGAATACATACGTGACCATCATCGGTGTCGTGTTTGCAACGGTATGGTCTACCGGATCGAGTTGGGCGCACTCGCAAGGCCTTGTCGCAGAGAGCGCCGCGGATCGTTATACCCAGAACACGTTCTCCATGCGTCGTCGTTCTCGCCGGATTCAGCCAAACCTTACCGACATTTGTGTGGACCGCGACTCCTTCTCGCCGTCCCACAAATATTCCTTCGCGCGATCGCCGAAGGGCGACGTATTCGAATTGGTGGAAACGCGGGGCATTGCGTGCTAAAAGGTTTTCTATGTACGATAAAGGAGTGAGTGCAACTACGTTTCTGCTGTTACTGTACTGATTTTATGTCCCGCAATCAGTACCCATCCTCTATTTCATGTCAATTCACGGGAAGATGAACAACACACTTACTTTTTATACGTATTCTCTGGCAATATTTCGTACGGACCAGCGATAATATCTAATTCTGTTCAGTCTTTTACCAAGTCCGAAGCAGTATCCGCCGTGTCACCCGAGGTCTCAATGCAAGCCGACCAACCCGCATATGACACCTTCATCTACTTCTCAAAGTTCTCATAGCCCCAGGATGTTGACTGCGACCAGTGAATGGCGTCCTATCGTTTCACCGCCCACGGCCTACTCGGGATGGGTGTAGTAAATAATAACGACTACGGGTAAGCCTTGACGCGGATGTTCTTTACCCCCCACATTGCTTCAAAACCCTCCTCTCAACCTGGCACAGAAAAATCCCCGCTTTCACTGCTGTCCACCCATGGCTATCCTTCTCGGCGATCCCATCCGGAACCCGTGCTTACGCTTCGGGCAACATAGGCTGTGACTCCACGCCTTCAAGAACATCGTGTTGGGTGGAGTATATAAGCTCAATCGTGCGTGATATTTCTGTGTAGCATATTGCGCTGAAACAATGCTGACTCGGACCTTTGCGATGTATCTTGCTGCGCTGGACACTCGAGAACCCCTCGGGAAAGTTTCAAGGCCGTTGGGTCTGGCTATCAGCATGTCGTCAAGGTCAACATGCATCTGCAACACATGTCGTGGAATTTCGCGCCGATGAAAGGGGTCTACGCCGAGGTACTTATGCACAATCTAGACAGCGCTGCAATTCGCTATATCCGCCGAGGTGTACTGAAACATGATGAACCTCCGACTGGCACTTTTTTGTTCACGACGCGATGCCTGCACGTACATCGGGTGGTACTACCGCTTGGCGCAGCGTCCCAGAGAGTGCGTGAGTCGATACACCCCGCCCGTATGTGGCCCAAATGAGCTTTCCGCGCCAATGCTACATGCACTCTTTGAAGCAGTTCTGCTTCCGTGCGTTCCGGCGTGTCTTAAAGTTGCATAATCCCGCGACATGAACGGACACAAATCAGCATCGATATCAACGTATGCTGTGCGTTATCAACCATTCTAAACTCTTTTCCTGACTTCCTGACATTTGCTGATAGCATTCTTGATAGCCTCGCCAGTGAGTCTCCATTGTCATGGTCGGAGTCGAGACATTGGTTCACTCCAGGTTCCATCACGCCCTCCACAGTCGCCCTCCACAGCCTGAGTCTCGTAGCCGTTGACAGTTCGTGTCGAGCAGTGTCAAATGCAGCAGCGGCAGCACAGCCATCAACCAATCGAAGCGGTACTTACGTGGGTCCGATACACTTTCCTCTTCTTACCTGCTCGTACGCGTGTTCCACTGATAGATATAGCCGCCTCCGCCTCCGAACAGACGGAAGGATTTGTGCTTCGTACATAAGGCTACAGGCTGCCGTCCAGGGCGCGTAAGTGTTCCTTGATGTCATGGAGCTCATGACTTGGTATAAGTATGCTGAATAAATCGACTTACTTCAACTTGGCTACTCAGGATCCCTTCCTACCCTCAATGCAGTCTACGGCAACGACCCCACCCCCGCCGGGGATGAATTATATTTCCTCCCTTGGCCCGTCTCTTTCATACCTTCTTGTCGGGACCGTTTTCTCGTCATTCCTGATTCCAATCGGCCTGGCGCTACTCTTTTTCTCCAATTCGAGGACTCGTCGCCAACCGATATTCTTGTTGAATATGCTTGCGCTCTCGGTCGGAATTGCACTGAATATAGTCAACGTATATATCGAGGTATGATTTCGCGCCATCGTTCTCGACTTTTGTGACGAGCAATAACTGATGCTGGCCCTAGATACATAGCATGTTGTCTCCCGCAACGAAAATATCGAATGCGAGCACTATAGCCTTCCCCGTTCTTTCGTGGGCCGGTCCAGTTCTAGTGGAGTGCATTCTGCTGGTTCGACTGGTCGCTGTATTCCCTCCCAAGATAACTTCGAGAGCAAAACTCGTTGCCATATTTGCATTTCCCATCGCAAACAAGGCGGGACGACTCGTCATCTGGGGGATTTATATGTATCGATACTCTACCCTCTCGATTGCATCGAACAGCAGCGTGCAGGGCGGCGAGAAGGCATGGGTGAACACGCTCCTCACAATAAACAAGGTCGAATGGATATTGGAACTTTTTGACAATGCGTAAGGTT